AAAATGCATTTCCCCCCACCTCCCAGCCCTCTCCCCCCTTCCCAGCCCTCTCCCCCCCCTCTCCTGGCTCATAGAACCGCTGCCCTCCATTCACACTGAGCTCAAGAGGTTCTGTGCTGGAAATCACAGCACGAGGGGGGCCCTCCTCCCATCCCTGCCTTCCTCCCACGAATGTGAGAGTCGCTGCTCAGCCCCCCGGAGGTGTGGGAGGACGGAGCGGGGATGGACCTCTCAGATCCACAATCAGTGCTAATTAAAACTGCCTTTTATAGACCCATTGTCCCAAGCCGGCTCGCCGTCCCATTTGTTTCACGCCGCGCAAATTGATGGGGCCAAAGGTTGAAAGCGCCACTCCTTTTTTTTTGTTGTTGTTGTTGTTTGTGGTTCCTTTCCGGCAGAAAAAAAAAAAGTGAAGAAAAAAAAAAGGACAAAGTTTTTGCTCTTTCTTAAAAATAAAGCCATTCTTACCTGCAAACACACCCACTGCATCCAGACCGCGCTTCTAGCATCGCTGTCCCCGCCGCAGGGAAGAGGGAGAGCTGTTCCATATGGAGAACCCCATCTTGGGAGGGAGGGAGGGGGGCAAAGGGCCTTTCCAAACCCAAAGAGCTGAGTGGAAAAGTTTCAGAGAGGCGTTAAGGCCGACGGCTCCCAAAGGCGAATTTGCCAGAGCTGCGATGAGCCCTTCCCTCCTTGGACCCCTCCCCTTGGGCGGATCCTTCGGGATCCCGGATCCACCCCAATCCGAGTCCTCTCCTCCTTGATGGAAGCTGGAGTCTGGTTCTGAATGTGGGCTGGAAGGAGTCGGTTCCGATCCGTCGGCATCGGGCTGGTGGGGTGGTTTCACCAGTATAAAGAACAAACTGGGCCCACCGCACCCACCTGTGCTCGGCTGCTCACTTAGGACCTGCGATCTTCCTCAGCCTTCATCACGGAGATTCGAGGCTGAACTGAAAGGCTGAGGAATCACCAGCAGAACCAGAAGGGCTGAGGAATCACCCACAGAACCAGCAGAGGTGGGAATGGGTCGGGAGGAGCAGCGATGGATGAGGAGAGGTTGGAAGTCAGCAGGGCAACCCTGGGGTCCGACAGAAGCTGAGCATCACACTGACCTCCTCAAGGTCTCCCTTCATTCTGCAGCTTCCACGGGCTGAAACGATGCCACAGAGCTCACGCAAGCCGCCAAAAAAAATGCGTAAAAATGAATTGGGAAGAGCTGAGCGTCACCAGCTGGTTGTAAATCCACAACCTCCCGGGTAAGAGGGTGACCTGCAGAGGTTCCACCGCCCTTCACGTGGTTCCTCTGAGCAGCAAAACGTCACAGGAGCAGAGTTCTCTCCTGGGAAAGTTAAAGTTTAATGGAGTCACCTCCTTGTGGCAGAGAACCACCAAGGAGTGTTGAGAAGTAGGAGCGTAACACAGAGCCAGAAATACTCATTGGAGACAAAGCCTTTGGTCGCAGACTTCCAGTGCCATCGTGACGAGGAGAAATCCGAGCTGTCAGAGTGACAGGGGCTGATCCTTCCCTCCCCACAATGCGTTTCTGATCTGCTCGTCTCCAGGATCCTTTTAGGACCCTCATTTGCCCGCTCCTCCCCTTCGGTGTTCCGTGCTGAGAGCAGTGGGTTTAAAGCTCCGCTCTGAGCCCAGCACACAAACAGCAGTGATGGGCTGTCAGAATGTCAGCGGAGAACTCAGCAGAAACCCCCAGAATTTCAAGGAAGAACCCAGCAGAACCGTTTCCCATCCACCAACACCTCAGTGATCAGGAGAGCAGAACCCAGTGGGACCAATTCTAAATCCAATGAAGAACCTCAGGACCAACACCTGTGGGGTGATCAGGAGAGCAGAACCCAAGCAGGATGGATTCCAAACCCAGAACACCAACGAAGAATCCAGTAGAACTGGTTCCCATCAGCCAACACCTGGGTGATCGGGAGAGCAGAGCCCAGCAGGACCAGGTCCAAACCCAGAACATCAGTGATGTTCCATCCACCAGCACCTGGGGTGATCAGGAGAGCAGAGCCCAGCAGAATCTGTTCCCATCAGCCGACACCCAGAGCAATCGGGAGAGCAGAACCCAACGGAACCAGTTCCAAACCCAGAACAACAACGGAGAACCCAGCAGAACCGGTTCCTATCCACCAACACCCAGAGCAATCGGGAGAGCAGAACCCAGCAGAACTGATTCCAAACCCAGAACAACAACGGAGAACCCAGCAGAACCAGTTCACCAGTTCCTATCCACCAACACCCAGAGCAATCAGGAGAGCAGAACCCAGCGGGACCGGTTCCAAACCCAAACCCAAATTCCAACCCCCTGCCCCAACGGCTCAGCGCTCAGACAGCCGTGGCAGCTTTGCAGCAAAGAGGCAACGGTGCATTTTTTGCAGTTCTGGGCCCCAGTGAACGCACAGAGCCCAAATTCAGGACAAAGAGGGAGGAGAGATCAGGTTGGATCAGATCAGGGCTTGTGCAAACCCGTCCTGGGTGGTTTTGTGCTTTCAGACAGAGGGGAGAGAACATTTCTGAGCTTAACAACAGCAGTTTTTTCCTTCGTGTTTTTGCAAAAAGGGGGGTAAAAAAAGCAGGAAAGAAGAGAGCATCCATTTGCAGACTGAAGGGAGCAGAGCTGAGATTGCGTCGGGTTGGAGAGAAACCAAACGCACACATGACCCCGAGTGACCTCACCCTTCAAGGACGCGGAACTCCTCCCCCCAAAATTCACTCCTCCTGAAAACAACGCCGAAAATCTTAATAATAACCCCCCAAAACCTGACGCCATTCAGTCTCCTTTTGCAGCTGAACGATCGCCCCGGGTTGGAGCTCGGGCGCCTGAGTCCATTTGCAGCAATGCTGGAGGTGCGTTTCCCTCCCCGCTGCTGGGAGTTTCCCTTCTGTTTTAATTTATTTTTTACCCTTCTCTGATCGTTTCGCAGCCATGTTTTGCAGCATCCGCCCCTCTCCACCCCCTCCTCCGTCCCAGAAACCCCATCTGAGCACATCCTGGTGCCCAGCAGAGAGAACTCACAGGGAAATGCTTCCAAAGTCAACAGACCTCTCCCTCCCCTTCATTGCACCTCTGTTTTCTCAAGGCAGCGTTAATGGCTTTCGTGGATTTCGTGTTTTCAAACAGAGCCAAAGGTTCTCCTTCAGCCTCACGGCTGCGACCGCTGCTGATGGTCAGGAGGTTTTTACTTCATCCCCCCTCTCCTCTTTGCTGCGACCCTCTCCTGGAATCCCGGGAATGTTAAAGAACTCTGCAAGGAGCATCACCCCCTCCTCCCCCCCCCCGCCCCCTTTGAGCCCCCTATGCCAGCAGAGCCAATTCCCCCCATTCATTCTTCCAAGCCTCAGCTGGCCCTGAGCTTCCCATTAATTCTCCCCACTTCCCAACTGGTTCAGGGGTTCCCAAATCCTCAGCGTGGCCCGATTCATCCCATTCATTCCTCCAATTCCCAGCTGGCCCTGAGATTCACAGTAACTCCCCCATTTCTCCAACTGGTGCAGAGATTCCCAGAGCCAATTCATCCTGCTCATTCTACCCAAGTCCCCAGCTGCAGAAATCCCCATTTATTCTTCCATTTCTCAACCACTGCAGGGATTCCTGTCAATTCTCCCCAGTTCCCCACTGGTGCAGGGATTCCCAAACTTTCAGTGAAGATCCGTTCCTCACATTCATTCTACCCAAGTCCCAGCTGGTGCAGAGATTCCCAGTAAGTGGGGATGGGGGTAGGGATGTCGGGATGAGGGTGGGGGTGTGGTGGGAGCGGGGACAGAAATGGATTTGGTATGGGGATGGGGGTGGGGATAGGGATGGAGATGGGGTGGAATGGGGATGGGGACAGGGATGGGGATGAGATGGGTTTGGGATGGGAATGGAGGTGGGAAAGGTGTGGGGATGGTGACAGAGGTGGGATGGGCTTGAATTGGGGGACAGAGTGGGATGGGGATGGGGGTGGGATGGGCTTGGGATGAGGATGAGGGTGGGCGTGAGATGGGGAGGAGCGGGAGAGGGGGTGGGGGGGGCTTGGGATGAGGATGAGGGTGGGCTTGAGATGGGGATGAGCTTGAGACAGGGTTGGGGATGGGGTGGTTACACTGAGCTCTGAATTCACATTGCCTCAGCGGGGAAAAGCAGAAGCCTGAAACAGGAAGGGAGGAAGGGAGGAAGGGAGGAAGGGAGGAAGGGAGGAAGGAAGGAAGGAAGGAAGGAATCTTGAGATTTCTGTGGCTCCCCAGTATTGTATGAGGAATGCTGCTGTGCAGATCTGAGCCGCAGGGCTGGAGCTCCGTGGGGTGCTGCTGTGAAAGCAGCGTTAGTAGCCAACAGCGTGTTTGTTTTCCTTCTCTGTAGTAGAAATTAGGGACATGGCCATCAGACGCTTATGGTGGTCCACAGCACAGACCCTGGAGGGTCCTTGTCCCTCCCCACACATCAGTGGGGCTGAGGTCGTTCCTTTGAAGCTCAGCTCCAGCCTAGAGGGGGTGGGAGAAGAAGAGGAAATGATGGTTCTCCTCCCTGCCAAGCTGCTTGGAAATTCAGCTTTTCTCCTGCCAACCCAAACCCTGTCCACTGAGGCTGGAGGACAGCGAATCCCCATCCAAATTCTCCCCGCACAACAACGGGTCCTGGCAGCTGTGTAGCTCTGCTTTGGCGGCTCAACCCGTGACCAAATCGCTGGCAAACAGCAAGCAACGAGGAGTTGCAGGGGGAAGGAAAGCATGTTTTCTCTAATAGCACTTCTGTATGCATTGGAAGGGAAAGCAAAGTGCTCTACACCCCCCCTCCCCAGCTCCTCCTATGGAGGACGAACCTCTGCCTCATCTCCATCAGCAGAAGGAAATTGGAGATTTAGGAGGAGAACCATTCGGGTTCGACTGGTTCCTCGCATGGGAAAGCAACGCCTTTGTTTTGTGGGGAGCCGAGAGCACCCAGTGCTTCTAATAATAGTGCCCTGAGTGTTTGCTTAAGCTCATGGAACAAATACAGGGGAAAGTTGTAATAAAACACCCAGTAATTTATTATAGAAGCTCTAGGGTCGGTGATAACTTAGTATTCAAAGCAATATATTCACAAATGTACATTGCTCCAGAGATGCAAACTCTGATAACCCAAACTGTACAGATAGGACCAAGAGATCGTCAGCGTTTCTCTTTACAGCTTTGTTAAGAGAAAGGGCTGAAATGGTTTCTGCTGATGAGGTGAGAGAGGAGTTGGGTTGCTGAACCTCTTCGGCTGGTTGGGAGAGCAGAGTTTTCCCTCCTGGGTTGGGAGAGCCAAAGGTTTCCCTTTGGATTCAGAGAGCAAAAGGCGTTCCTTCTTGGGTTGGGAGAGTGGAAGGTTTCTCTTTTTGGGTTGCAAGACGGGAAGGTTTCCCTTTGGGTTGGCACCTCCACTCCTCTCCCAGTCACTGCCAACACTGCAGCGTTTTGCTGCCCAAATTTCGTGCAGATTTCCTCTGCCTTTGGCTGTAACGCCATCCCACAGTGCCCAGTTATCCCCAGGGACGCCGTAGGAAGACTCTCCTACATGCATGCGTGTGTCACGAGATGGCACTGTAGGACCGAGTTCCTATTGCTGCGCAGAAAATCTGCTGCAGGGAGGCAGAAATTGGAGCAATCCCCGTGCAGGTGGGATGGAGACCCAGCAAGTTGGGGTGCCCTTCTTGTAGGGTGCTGTAAGGTGAAGAGAACCCTCTCATCCACCGTGGGTTCCTCTCCTTCGTGACAAAGCCAGCCTCATAAGCAGTGCAGAGGTTGAAGATGCAAGGGGAATAGAGCCGAATAGTTGGGAGAAATGGGAGCTGTGTGGCAGCTCTTACACTTTATCCGGCAGTGTATTCACACGTGGCTTCTTGCTGATGGGAACTCCAGCAACATCCAGATCAGAATGGTCAGCCTGGATGACCTCAGAGATCTTTTCCAAGCTCCATGATCCCACGATTCTACCCAGACCGCCCGTGTTTCCTTCACTCCTGGAACGTTGCGTGGGGAGATGTTGGGTTTGAGTTGGATTTTTCAAGCAATGAACAAATCCTGGGCTCACTCAAAGTCTGCCAGGTCAACCCAAGCCTTGTTTCCTCCCCGCGCTGCACGTACAGATGTGGGATGCTGTTCTCACCCCACATCTCTTTACTTCCCCCTTTCTGCAGCAGCATCTCAGTGGGACTGCAGTCCTCTCCTCTCCTCCCAGCTGTTATCCTTATAGGATTTTCTCTGGGATTATCTCCGGGCCGAATTTCACCTCTTTCTCACCCGAAGAGAGCCCTGAGGACGCCGAAACCTCATCAGCTTTAAACTTGGAGATGATCCTGGCTGTTTCCTCGGTGATTTGGAAATGTTTGAGCTGTTTCCCTCGATGCCTGAGGGCGTTCATGTCCGGAGAGCTGTTCCTGCTCCTCGTCCTCTCTTCCAGGATCTCCTTCCCCATACAGGCGCTGTCAATGGGGCTGCCTTCTGCCCCAGAGTCCGTTGCCATGCTGGGTGATGTGGTAGCTCTCAAGGGCAAGCTGGAAGGCTTGGGGATGTGTGGTCGTGCTTTTGGTTGCGCTCGGGCGTATTTCACGGGCTGACGGCTGAAATGGCCCCGTGGCTGCGTCCCAAAGGCTGGCTCTGAATCACTGCCTGCCTTCTCCTCTGGGTCCTCCAGCTCGGAGCCGACGCTCACATTCACCTCTGAAGACAAAGAAAATCAGAGCGTTGAGATACGTTCGCCGCGACAAATAACGCTGGCCAACGTTTCCTCTCGCTGCTAAGATGCTGGAAGTCCTGAAGCGTTACCAGCCTAAAACTCCCCTTCCCAAACGTAGGAATCAGACCCATATTTTATAGCTCTCCACCCACACCAGCATCGTGAGCAATGCTTTACCTCCACCCTCGGAGCTCTGGGCACCGTCCAACGTGAATCCATCGATGGCCTCTCCAGAAGATGAGATATCGGATGCGTCGTCCACGCTGCAGCTGTGCTTGGAGGAGGGATTCTGTCAGGACAAAGCCACGAAGGACACTCATTTGTCATGAAGATACACTCTGCTCCCCACTTCACCCCCAGTGTCGTTGTGGCTGCGTGAATGGGGGATGGATTGAGCCGAATGGAGGAGACTGCTTGAGTTGAAAACGCCCTGATCCCTTTTGGGTTATCGGTAAGAGGGAATAGGGAGTGGGCAGAAAGTCACGGGGTTTTGGGGGCGGTCACAGAATGTGCCCCAAAGCGGTCACTGCTTCACATAGGGCTGAGGTTGTGCAGTGCTGACACAACCCGCTTCAGAGTGAGGAGGGGGGATGTCAGGAACCAAGCGGTTAATTGCAGCGCTGTCGTTAGGATGAAGTGCACGTGGGATGGAGAAGGACACGGGGATGCTTGGGAGCTGCCAGGAACCAATGTGAGTCTGCACAAAGATTGGGACACCCAGACAAGGGCTCTAGAAATCAGGGTTTTATTCGTCACAAAATGAGAGCGCCCTTAGAAGCAGCTCCCCTTCCTGAAGGTTTGCGCCACTCAGCTTTGCGAAATGGCCACAAAAACGGAAAATAGTCCAAGGCAACAGCTGTGCTTTTGGGACCCTCTTGCACGCAAGATCCACAACTCAAAGCGGGAGGCAGAGAGCCCTGAACCACAATCCATACCCTTTCACTTTAGGAACAAAATTCCCCCTCTTTCTCCCACCGAACCAGCGGTGAAAAGGAGGGAACGGCCGCGTCCGGCTCGAATGCTGACTTGTTGGGTTGTTTTTTTTCTCCAAGTGCTGGAAGATGTGCAAACCATGGTGATAAAATGGCTGTGGATCTTGGGAGGAAAGGAAAAAAGGATCCAAGGCCACTGTTCAGGAACGCAGAGGGTCCCATAGGGTTCTACAGGGGAACCCTACAGAGTTTGGGGGTCAGGAATGCAGAGGGCCCTGCTGGGTTCTACCAGGGAATCCGTTGGGTTTGGTGTGCCCATAGCTGCTTCCAAATGGTGGCGCTGTCTACAGCAGTGTCCAGAATAATTCAGCACGGAGAACCCTCCAATTTTTCAGAAATGGGGTCTAAAACGTGGAACAGAAGCACCACCCAGAGTGGTCTGAGGAGCTGATGGGTGACACATCGCTTAGAATTCATTCTCATTCTCCCACTCCATGTGCAGCTCCTTCCTCTTGGAGTAACCCTCTGATAACAAATGCGTTTTTTGGGTTTGGGGAGATTTGTTTTTTGGGGTTTTTTTTTGTGCAAAAAGTTCTTTCTCTGCTGGTCCACCTCTACAGCAGGGTCAGTAAGCCCAGCTCAGTGTCTGCAAGCTCTACCTCTAGAGTTACACTCTGGGCTGTGATTTGGCTCCGCTGTCCTTCATCCTTCTCTGTCGGCGCTTCTTGCAGAAGGTTTTCACACCCGAGGGATAAGGATGAGGGCAGGTCCTCCATCCCAAACACCCTTTCGTAGTTCTGGATGAGAAACTCCACGATTTGGGCTTGATACCCGGAGTCAACAAGGCAGGACATGGAGACGTCGCTCCCTGAGCCCGGCCGGATCAGAGTGGGGCCAAACACGATGCCCAAGTTGTTTGGGGACATCTTGTTCTCTTCATATTTCTCTGCCACCCTGGGGAAGGGAAACAGGTCTGAACACATTGAGGATACAGACGGAATTGAATGAACCACCCCCTATTTCACAGCAAAGAGAGAAATCCCATCTTCCACAGGGAACAGGGCTCTGATTCGTGCATGGAAATTCCAGGTACAAACATTAAAATCTGTCTGGACAGTGCAATTCTAACGTGTTCTGAGCTGGGTGAAAGGGACGCGATTTATTTTATCATTTGACTTCTTAATCTGTGCTTTATGAGGAGTTAACAGCAGGGAGCTTCTATTTCCTGGTCGTTAAAGCTTTCTCCTAATTGCTGCAAGACTCCTTTCCACATCCTTCGAGGGACTGGGTTTAGAGGACACAGCTGTGATGAGTTGATGGTTAGGTTTGATGATTTCGGAGGTCTTTTCTAACCTTAGCGCTTCCATGATCCCAAAATCCCACCCCAAGGTCCAATCCCAAATTCCCACTCCGACATTCAATCCCAAAATCCAGCTGCCCAAACGCAGACCCAAAATGCCACCCCAAAATGAGTCGAATGGTTGGACTGGACGATCTTAAAGATCTTTTCCAACCTTAATGACTCTATGATCGAGTGGGCGAAAGGTCAGTGGTTGGATACGATGAACTTGGAGCTCTTTTCCAACCTTAATGAGTTTGTGATTGAGTGGGTGATGGGTCAGCGGTTGGATATAATGACCTCAGAGCCCTTTTCCAACCTTAATGACTCCATGATAAATGTATTTTAATTTACCCTCCTCAGCACCAGCACTCTCCTCACCTGTACAGGTGTGCAATGAGATGCCGCAGGGTGTTGTAGTTGCTCCCAGGCAATTTGCTCAGCAAGTCTTTCATGCTCTGGATGGGATCTGAGGGGAAACTCGTGCAGTCCACCTTCTCTTCCCCAGCTTTTTGCAGCTCTTTGGCAAGCGCAATGAGGTTGTCGTAGAGCTGGTATGGCAGAATGGGTCCCGAAAGCTACAACGAGAGGAGGAAGACAATGAGTTACTTCATCCCACCGGTCCCACGCTGCGGGATGGGGTCAGCTGGGAGCTGCCCATTGGCGGATATTTGGCACCCACTTCCTTCAGGAAATGCTTCAGGACGCCGGTGATGTCGTGGGGGGAATGCTCGGAGAGCTCCACCAGGCTCCTGCCGTTCTCAAACGCTTGGCACAGCTTTTCCACCCGGGCTTTGGATCCGCTTATCCTGTAGATCCCCTGGGAGGAGAGGAGAGGGGCGGGCATTCCAGCTCCTGGGCACGAAGAGCGGAGGAGATGCTCAGCAGAACAACTCTCCGCTCACCTGCACTCCCAACGCACGAGCTTCGATTTCAGAGGTGCACTTCACCACGATGAAGGGAACCTCCTCCGGGAAGTCTCGAGGAACTTGGGTGAAGTCAATGCCAAAGAGAGGCGCCCGGTTGGGCAGCTTCTTGTGTCCGCAGGTGACCAGCAGGTTCTCCAGACACTTCTTGTGGCACGTCAGGTAGCACTGAAATGGCAGAAACTGCTTTGAGTTGTACTCTGATTGCAGTCCAGCCCTTTGGCGACAGCTGAGCCCAGCATTGGGTCCGCTGCTCCAGATGGGGCCTCCCCAGTGCAGAGCAGAGCGGAGAAGCACCTCCTTCACCCTGTTGGCCATGCTCTGGGCAATGGAATCTGAGCTGCCATTAGCCTTCTTGGCCACCAGAGCACACAGCTGGCTTGTGGTCAGCTGTAGGTCAACCGTTGGTCAACCTCTTGGCCACCATCTGCCTTCTTAGCCACCATCAGCCTTCTTGGCCACTGCTGACTCATGGTCAACCCATTGCCCACCACTGGAGTCGACCTGTTGACCATTATTGGCCCTTCTTGGCCATCAGGGCACACTGCTGACTCACGGTCAACCCTTGGTCAACCCGTTGGCCACCACTGGAGTCGACCTGTTGACCATTATTGGCCCTTCTTGGCCACCAGGGCATTTTGCTGACTCACGGTCAACCACCGGTCAACCGTTGGTCACCAAAGCCTTGAACCTTCTCTGCAGAGCTCCTTTTCACAGCTCAGCCCCCAACCCAGATGAATGCACACAGTTGTTGCCCCCCAGATTCTGACCCCTCCCCCTGCCCTTGTTCAACGCCATCTGGTTTATATCTGCCCAACCCTCAGACTGTCCAGGTTCCACTGAACAGCAGCATGGCTCTCTGAGGTGGCAGCCACCCCTCCCAGCTCCGTGCCACCACCAAACATTCTGTGGGCACGCTCCATCCCTTCACCCTGCTGACTGATGGAGAAATCAAACGTGACTTTCCCCATTCCCTTTTCCACCCAAGCCCCATGCTGCTTTCTTGGTACCGTTTTGGGCAGCTGGTGTCTTACTTACGGACCCGAAACTGCACCTCGTGTCACCAGAGGGGAAAAAGCACAAGATTTTATGGGGTGAGGGGAAGTCTTACGTTCCTACAGGGAGCTCCTCATCACCCCGCGGTGCCACACGAGGTGCGATGACAGCTCTCACCTCCTCACACTCGAAGCCGTTGACCATGAAAGTGTCACACTCTCTGCACTTGGTTGGTCCCCGCAGTTTCCTGAGTCGATGGGTCTGCGCTGCGCTGGAGAGGAGAGCGTTCCTGAACTGCTGCTGGGATGTGCCATTTTCTGCAGGAACAGCATGAAAGCATGAGGAGGAGTCGGTAGGTCAGTGGGAAAGCACAGTTTTCCATCTGGTCAGGCTCACCGTTTTCAGAAGTTTGCAGTGAATCTCTCTCTTCAAAGTCATCCGAGGAGGACATGGTGCCCGTGGACGAAGCTTTCAGCAGTTTCCTGGTGGAGTTTCCTGGAGATAAGAGAAAATACAGAGAGCTGTTCCCATCCTCGCGATCTCCTTTGCGGTTTGGTGTCTGCTCCATTCCCATCCTCGAGGGTTTTTTAGTTTATTGTGTTGGGTTTTTTGTTTGTTTGTTTGTTTGTTTAAGAGAGGGCATCTTGTGCAGCTCTCACCTGGACTGGAGCTGGGAGAATCCAGGGATCGTGACTCACAGCTCCCACCGAGGCTCTCCGTGTCGCTGCAGAGGGATTTGTTCACACCTACAGAAGGCAGACATGGTGACCAAACACCCCCAGCAAACCTTGGGGTAACGGCTGAGAATCGCAACTGGATAACAGCAGCACTTAAATTAAGCGATAGGAGCTCAAATTAAAAAGAAAAAAACAGGTTTTTTTTCTTCAATTCAACCCACTCTATTCACCATTTGGGGAGATCTGCCTTCTGGGTGCGTCCTCTGGGGTGCTCCCATCCTTGCTGCATCCTGTATAATGCAGTGGTGTCTTCTTTTTGTTGCTGGGAGGAGACCTGGGGAGGGATTGCAAATGGTTTTCTGTCAGTGCAGGATAAGGAATGGCATCTCATGGTGGAGATGCTTTCTGGTTACCGGAGATAAAGCATCCGTTTCAATCCGGTTATGAGGTATAAGCTGAGTTTTCAAGGGAACTAAACACTAAACTGAAAAAAAAAAAGCATTTGGTTGGTGGAATTCCACCTGCAGGGAAAGCACTGAAGCAACCCAGCTTCAACCCATTTCTTCTCACCTCTGCCCTCCAGAGGAGAACGGCTCGAACTCAAAATGCTCCATGGGAATGTCTTTCTTCTGCAGAGCCTGGATGAACTCCAGGTATTTCTCACCCACTCTGTATGGCTTGCAGACCTCATACAGGTGCTGGTATCCCACTGGAATCCGTTCTGACTGAGTCTGCCTCTGCTTAAACATCCTCAACGTGACCTTATTGGAGAAAGGAGGGGATGAAAACTGCGTTTTCTGCCCAGGTGCTTTTTCTTCACTTGGACCTCATTGGATTGGCTTGAAGGTTTCTTCCAACCCACCACTCCACGGTTCTGTGACCTTTAAGGTCCTCTCCAATCCATTCCGTGATTCTGTGATCTTTAGGGTCCCATCCAACCCAGCCCACTCCACAATTCTAAGGTTCTGTGATCCCTGGGGTTCCTTCCAACGCATTGCTGCTCAGTGGTCTCCAACCCATTCCATGGTTCCATATTCTTTACCTTTCCAACCCAACCATTCTATGGTTCTGTGATCTTTAGGGTCCATCCTAACTCACTCCATGGTTTTGTTGTTCTATGATCTTTAGGGTCCTTTCACATCCATTCCGTGGTTCTGCGACCTTCAGGATCCCTTCCAAACCAACTCACTCCATGCTTCCATGGTTCTGTGATATTTAGGATCCCTTCCAACTCAACCACTCCACGGTTCTACGGTTCTGTGATCTTTAAGGACCCTTCCAACCCAACCCACTCCGTGATTCTATGATTTTTAAGGTCTCTTCCATCCCTACCTATCCTATGATACTTTTGCTTGATGCTTTCATTCTCTTCTAAGGATGGGGGTACAGGAGCAGGGCATAGAAATTATCTGTGACTCTTTGTTTTCCTGTGGGTATCCACCCTCCAACCAGCAATAACTGCATACATTTCAAGCAACAGGTAAACCCAGAGTACTCTCTAATTTCACCTGCTGGGGAATGCCCAAACAAAGGGAGGTTCCACAGTAAAACACGCAAGAACCTCATGGTCTTATCCCAAAGAGTGTTTTTCTCTGAAACGAGGATCGAAGGAGAAATTACGAGACGTACCCACGTCAGCACCTCATCTCCTTGGTAAATGAGCTTCCGAATGTGGGAGACGATCCGCGCCCGCACCTTCTCCAGTTCCTGGCGCCGAAAGTTGGCGTCGTTGATGCACGTCTTGTACAAAGATTCTGCCTCCAGAACCTGCGTGTGGTGAGAAGCAGAGAAAGGAGGAGAATGTCAGCGGGATGGGAGGGAAGCAGGAGGAGCAGCAGCTGGCTCCAAGCTCCTCACCTCACTGTAGAAACAGAATGGGTTGGGTTGGAAGGGACCATAAAGATTATGGGACCTTGGAATGGGCTGGGTTGGAAGGGTCCTTATAGATCATAGAACCATAGAATGGTTGGGGTTGGAAGGGTCCTTAAAGATCACAGAACCAGAGAAATGTTTGGGGTTGGGTTGGAGGTGTCCTTATGGATCACAGGACAATGGAACCATCAAAAGGTTGGGTTGGAAGGGTCCTTATAGATCACAGGACCGTGGAGCCATAGAATGGTTGGATTGGAAGGGTTCCTGTAGATCATAGAACAATAGAATGGTTTGGGGTTGGGTTGGAAGGGTCCTTGAAGATCACAGAACAATGAAACCATCGAAAGGTTGGGTTGGAAGGGTCCTTATAGATCATAGAACAATAGAATGCATTGGGTTGGAAGTGTCCTTAAAGATCACAGAACCGTGGAACCATAGAATGGTTGGGTTGGAAGGGTTCCTGTAGATCATAGAAAAATACAATGGTTTGGAGTTGGGTTAGAAGGATCCTTATAGATCACAGAACCATGGAGTCATAGAGTGGTTGGGTTGGAAGGGTCCTTATAGATCACAGAACAATAGAATGGTCGGGTTGGAAGGGTCCTTAAAGATCACAGAACAATAGAATAGTTGGGTTGGAAGGGCTCTATCACTCTGCCCATGTGAATTCTCTCTTCCTCCTGTTTATTAGATCCCCTCAGGCTCTGGAAGGCCACCAGGAGGTCTCCCTGGAGCCTTCTCCTCCCCATCTGAGCACCCCCACCTCCCTCCACCTCTCCCCCCATAGCAGAGGTGCTCCATCCTCACGTGTCACCTTGGCTTGCGCCTCCTCGCAGGAGCGCCGTCGCTTCTCCAGCTGCTTGGTGGCGCTGCTGGGGCTGATGACGGCCGAGTTCTGGCACCCATCCTCTGCCTTTGCACTCAGGTGCTTGGCTTTCTCCAGCTCCTCGCAACGCTGGATGTACTGCAGGCGGGATTTGCGCAGCAAGGACAGGGATTCGTTCTTGAACAGACAAAGGGAGATTTAGGAGCGATGCCTGGGGGAAAGCACCCGTCTCCAATGCTCTCTCTTCTTCTCCTCCCACAGTTTAGGTGCCCTAATGGAGTTCTTAGCAGGATGCATGTTGCATTATTCAGATTTTTATCTTTCTTTTTCCCCAGTTTTGAGCGGTCAGAGGATCGCGCCCATCTTTCAGCCCCTTACCATCCTCTTCTGCTCCTTTATCCACTGATCTTTGAACTCTTTCCTCCACTTCTCGATCTCGTTCTTCTTGGCCGACAGAGGCTGCAGAGGAGTCACGGTTAGGGTGGAACATTAAGAATCTTGTAGGTCAGAAAAGACCCCTAAGATCGTCAAATCCATTTCCTGGGAAATGGCCAAATGCACCAGACGGCTGAGGGCACAAGATTAGAACCCAACCACTGGAAGATGTTTCCTTTTCCCTTCTTTGTATCTCTTTCTCTCTTCCCATTAACCCAAATGAGGATAAATCCCCTCGGTTCGGTCACTCCAGTACCCCAGACTTGAGAATCCTCCCATGGCCATCCATAAATGCGGCACCTGGTAGAATTCCTTCTGTTGCAGCAACCCCACCGTCTCACTGGCTGCATTTCCAATCTTGATATCGTGCTCCAAGACCATCATGTAGAGCGCCCGAAGAGGCATATTGGACTGCAGAAACAACAACAAAAACAGGGCGTCAAACAGCGGATCATCCCCTCAGCTCCCCTAAATTTGGGAGCTTTCTTTATCTGTGCGTGGATCTGCAGCAGCAACACGGCTTCCTCACAGGGAAACCCCAAGGATTCTACCTGGTGGATGATGGCGTTCCGTCCCGACTCCGCTATCTTCACGACCCCTTTGGCAAACTCGGTCTCTGTAAGAGGGCAGAGGGGATTGGAAGCCAGCGGAAAGGTGAGCGCCAACGCGTTGCTCGTTGGGATCATTTTGGGAAGGAAATAATTCCCCCTCTTTGCCTTAGCAAAACAAAAATAAGTTTCTCATCGCTCTGCCTTTGCTCGCAACGCAGCACCCTTGGCTGTGATTTATGAAAAAGCCACGAAGTGTGTATATAAAAATGAACAGCATGCGAGCTGTGCAGCCCCACTCACCGTAATTCAGGCGTCTCTCGATCCAGCTGAGGAGCTCCTTGACGTATTTACACCACATTTTGGCGTACGCCAGGGCCGCATCGACGCCGCCTTGGCATTTTATCAGCATTTCATCCGCCTCTTCCACTGCAAAAAGATCCCGCGCGGGCGCGGCGTGGCTACGCTCAGCGCACTGAGGTTCCCCAAGGGTGGGAGAAAGGGAGTCTGGAGGTTTGGTGCTGCGTAATTCTCAGATAGCAGCCGTAATATGAAATAAAGGAAGGGTTTTCCCTCAATAGTCACCATGGTCCATTTGGTGGCGACCCCAGCATTGCTCCAGGCAATTTAGGCACATATACTCCTCTGCCACCCCTTCTGATCCATATGTTGGTTTAATTTGGAAACCAGAAGGGAAAGACCTTGCCCACTGTTGGGTGAAGATGGATGGAGACGCAGGAAGGACTCACATCCCTTGGCAGAACCCAAGGGGAAACGGATCTGAACACATTCAGAGCTGAAATCTGTGAGGAATCCGCTTAGAAAACCTTTTTTTCTTATTTTCTGTGCAGAAACTTCACACGAAGAAAAAACCAATTTAATGTCATGCTTTATGGTGCCAACAGCAACCACTGAGAATCGTCCCAATGGGCAACAGAAGGGGATGCCCCCAGTTCTACCCCAAACCTTTCAGAATTCACTTCTCAGTGCCTCAGAACCTCAAGAGAGGGCCATTAATGAGGCATTAATGAATAATAATAAGGGGAAGTTCTGCTGCAGCAGCAGGACCACTGAGCTCGGAACTGTTGACCGATGGATCAAGCGTCCTGGTGTCACCTTTTGGGTTTTAATTCATGACTTTACCTGTCAGGTCTCCCTGCGTTTGTCTCTCTGGACTGCTTTTGCTTTTGGGGAGATCTTCACTTGGCTGTGGGGGGGGAAAAACAAAGACAAGAAAACAGAGAGGAAATGGTGAAGGAAAAGGCAAAGTTTGGGGGGATTTTGATAAGAATTCAGTCGGAGATTTCATTTCACTGAATCGGGCAACCTGGTTGGTGGGGATGGTGGGGTTGGAAGAATAAGAGGCTGATGTTTGATGGGGGGAAAGCAGCATGATGTAAAGTCTACCATGAAACCCTGAGGAAGCGCTTCATGAACAGAGGGAGATTAAGGTTGGAATCAGAAGATATTCAATTTTTTAATGAAGTTTATCTCTGGGGATGATGTAATCTAGTGAGAACGGTGGCTGTTAGATATAAAATTAATTTTCCTGCCCCTTTATTCACACAGAAGAGCACAAAACGAGGCTCGCCGCCCGCATCGCGCGAGTCCCACATGGCCCAAAAGGGGCAGAAAAACAACAAAGTTCTATTTTAAAGGACTTCTGTTGCTGAAGGATGGAATTTTAGGTCAACAGAATCCAAACAGGGCGTCGAACAGAATGTGCCATGTTCTCCAAATCGAATGCACCAAATTGGGCCATGTTCTACACACACCAAATTGTTTCCACTCAGCTTTACCTGCTCTGCCACCACCTCTCCTCTACCAACAAATTGGGATACCGTTATTTTCTGTCTGCTCACTTCAGAGCCACGGCTATTCTGTTTTTCTGATCATCTCCCAGAAGACTTTGGGTGACAAAACTACACCACTGTGGCTAATAATAATAATAATAATAATAATAATAACAATGATAATTTCCTCTCTAAAACAATCCTCATCTTTTGCCTACCTCAACGATCTCCCTTTCCATGGGCAGCTCTGCATCCCCACTGCCATCGGCGTCACCGATGAACAAATCCACTGTCCTGTCGAGCAAAAAGCAATGAAATAAATCATAGAGGTTGGGAAAGGCCACTGAAATAATCCGTCCCTGCCACGGATGAAGGCTTCAGTGACCCAAAAGTTGGGTTCTGCCCCTCTTTCTCTACGTACGCGTTTCCAATCGAGATCTCGATGGCATCCAGGCTGCGGAATATCTCACTGTAGCGCTTCTTGTTTTCAGGTGCCCTTTCTTGATGGTCGAGACCTGAGAATGAGGAAGAAATCATTTCATAGAAAGCCAAGAGCTCCTTGAGGTCTACGGAACGGTTTCTGGAGGTGCAGAGGAACGCGGTCGAGCTCCACTCTGCCATGGGGATGTGACAAATTGGGATGTCCTGGTGAGGTGCAACCAGGTGATGCCCAGCATGAAATGGGATTCGAAAGAAAACACTGGATGAGAAATTTCCCAGCGTTCCTTGGATGATGGAAAATGAGTGTGTGGATATCAACAGGAGACATCTGTGCTGCTTTATGGCTTCCAAGCGGACCTGACAGTTGTTAAAACTGTGCAGAAAGCTTTGTGACGGCGGCTATGGGGTGAAGACCCCATAACACCACCAATGGGGTCAACGGCTCTGCGTCCCGGTGGAAGTGGGACACGAGTGGTGCCCCCCAGGTGGCCGCACGACTGGCACAAAGGAAGGAAGGGATCCATCCCAGACAGGAGCAGAAAGCAGACCAATGAGGTTCAACAAAGCTTTGTCGTCTTGAAGGACCCTTCCAACCCAACAGTGCTGTGATTCTCTGGATCTATGATCTTCAAGACTCCTTCCAACCCAAACCCAACCCAACCATTCTCTGTTTCTGTGATTTTCAAGGTCCCTTTCAATTCAGCCCATTCTATGATCTTCCAGGACCTTTCCAACCCAACTCATTCCGTGGTCCTATGATCATTCAGGACCTTCCCAACCCAACTCATTCCATGGTCCTATGATCATTCAGGACTTTTCCAACCCAACTCATTTCGTGGTCCTATGATCATTCAGGACCCTTCCAACCCAACTCATTCCATGATACTGCAATTCCACGATTCTCTGCCCTTTGTTCAGGGCTGGCAATGCACAGGGAGACCTGATGGAGGAGCTCATGGGGTACCACAACCTGCTCTGCACACACAGAAAGCAAAACAGAACTTCATGCATGGCACCGATCAGCAGAAGCGTTGGTAACCCAACAGTCAGCTTCTGAAGTGCAGAATTCACCTCTTCCTCATGCGTCACGTGTGCACGGAGGTTCCTCAATCCGATTTCTGGTGAAGATCTGCATTACTCCCCCAACGGGGGCAGTTCTGGGGGGCACACGAAATGGAAAACGGGCTCATCTCTCCGTGGGGGGCAGTGGGTTCCTCCCATGGACATTTGTAAGCTGTAAGCTCTGCCTGAGGCCGTGCATGGAGCAGGGCGGAGGTGACCACACGTGGTAATTAACGCTGCTCATTGGCCAGGTGTGTGTGTCACTGAGGGCAGAAGTAAAACTCTGCGTGGGCTGAGAGCTGCTGTAGAAAAGGGTAAAAAAAAACAACCTAAAAAAAACAGAAAACAACAGAAGAAAAAAACACTTTAAAGTATAGAAATGGGCAGCGGTGGTGAAAAACAAACAAAAGCAAGCTTCACTCTTCTTTGTCCTTTCAACATCCCAGGAAGCAGGATGTGGCTGACCTCAACCTGAAGTTGCTTCACTCGTTGTTGCGTTTGCAGCAGCGAATGTCACAAATGTCACCCCGATGGTGCTTGGAAAAGCCAGAAAAAGCAAAAAAAAAAAAGCAAAAAAAAAAAAGCAAAGTTTTTCCGTGTCAGCAGCGAGGGCCCGTCAACGCCTTTTGGCACTGGAGATCCAACAGCTGCAAATCTGAGGTTTGCCATTCTCGTGGGTAGGAACACACAGGGGGGGGCCATGGGAATATTCTCCTGTAAATAGAGGCCCCACCGCCCTCTTTGTCAGACGTTTCGTTCCTGAGTTCATTCTTTCTTTTGTGGAGTCCACGTGTTGAATTTGGCCGTGCAGAGGAGACGACTTTTTCCTGAAACAAGGCGCTAAATTTCTGCTGGTGCTGTTCCCAGTGATTTGGGCACCCTGGCAGCACTTCTTTTGTTGTCGTATTGGCCAAACAATGCGCCTGTTTCCTTGCTTTCTTGCCCCGAAATTGAGCACCATTAATTAATTGCAGCTTATGTTGCAGCCTCGCACACAACTCTGTCCTCTGAGGGAACAAAAATGCCAAGCGAGACGATCCTGAACCCTGAAAAAGCGCCTCTTAACACGTCAGATATTTTCTAACGCCAGATCAGTGATAATCCTTCCCTTTTTGAGTTCAGCATCCTCCAGTTTGCACGTGGGAATGCTCCCAAACGAGCCTCTGCGTTGTAGAGCAAATCACCTGCATTTCAGCTTCCTTTCTTTATGTGTTTTCACCCAAAAACAAACAGGAGTGCAAAACGGGGCAAAGATGCTCATTTTTGGCCACACAACGCAGCCATAAACTGCACCCAGCACCTCATTGGTGAATCAAAATCCCCACCTCCTGCTCTGCTGGGGGGGTGGAGGTCTATCAAAATTCTCCTTGTTCTTCTTCTGAATGTAAATACCAACTGTTCGTATTCCAAGACATAAATCTGAACTTAATAGTTTAATTGGAAGCCTCACGTCTTTCTTTGCCCTCTTGAGCAGATGTCTTTAATTTCTCTTGTTTACCAGCAGTGGGAGGTTGTACAACAGGAAGGAGTGACTCAACCCAGCAGTGCTGGCGATGGGGAGCGTGGAACATTTTGAAAGCAGCTCTTGGACAGACAGAGAAACAACGACATCAGCCTCCCCATCAAATCCTTCGTTTAACCCGAAGCAAAACGGTGCAAGCAGGAAGGCAGAGAAAGCGAAACGAAGGCGCGTCGCGATAAGGAAGCGGGGTCTCCCCAATCAGCCTGCAGGCTGCTCTCAAAGCAGAAAGGTGGCTCGAGAAATTAATGAAACTGAGAATACAAATCACTGTGTTGTTCTCGTTTAAACGAGTTTTTCTTAGAACTGTGACTTTTTTCCTAGACTTCCAAGGATGTCCGGTCTGCCCAGCACCACCGTGTCCACTCACAGAAGCATTAAGGTTGGAATAGGCCTCTGAGATTGTGAGTCCAACCATCAAACCTGTTCTAGGATTGGATCTGGGGGCTGAATTTGAGGGTTGGATCTTGGGATTGGATGTTGAGAGGGGTTTTGAAATCGCGGAGTCGTTAATGTTGGAGGAGACCTTGAAGATAATTAAGTCCGACCGTTGAGCCACCCTCACCATGCCCACCCATGGCATCACAAAATCACAGGATTATGGAGTCACCAAGGTCAGAAAAGACCTCGAAGAACATCGAGTCCAACCATCGGCACATTTTGGGGTGGGATTTCGGAATCATGGAATCGTTAGGGTTGGAAATGACCTCCAAGATCAAGTCCTACCACTGATCCGTCAGCATCGTTCCCGCTTAACCATGACCTTAAACAGAATTACAGAATCATCAAGGTTGGAAGAAACCTGTGAGATCATCAGCCCCACCATCAACCCATCCCCACCCACTGGATTAGCAAATCATGGAACCGTTAAGGTTGGAAATGACCTCAAGTCCAACCACGAAATCCATTTTGGGGCAGGATTTTAGAATCACGGGGTCATAAAGGTTGGAAAGGCCACTGAGCCTGACCGCCAACCCATCCCCATGGAATCGTGGGATCCCTCAGGTTGGCTTTGAGGCCTCCCAGCCTTGAGGTCAGCGATGTGAGGGCAGCAAATCAAGTCAGTTTGCACGGCAGGGGGTGTTGGAATAGGGGGTGATGCCTTTCGGTATCACCTTCAGCTTGGTCCTTTCCAACCCAATCCACTCCACGTTCTCAATTCCAAGGTGATTTTGGTTTAATTTCTTCTCATTTTCTCCATCACTCAACCGAGGGCAGAAATCCCACCTGTCCCAACACGGGGTCTGAAGGAAGCTGCAACGTCCTATGAGAACATCACAATATTTTTAGCAGCCCTTGTTCTGCAGCTCAGCAGAAGCATCACTTCCCTTTCAGCCGGGCCATGACACAACTGCCCCCAGCCCTCAGTTCAGCACCGCCGGCGGATTTTGGTATCACAGCTCTGCTGTGAGATTTCCTGGCAGTGCCTTCCTCTTCTCTGCACTCACTTTTGCAGTTTGCAACGCGATATCTGAAGTTTTTTCCACCAGGGCAAAGCTGGTTCTGCGCATGAGCAGGTGTAGAAAATCCACGTCTTGCAAACTTTTTTGGTTAAAAAAGCCAGGCCAAGAGAAAAACCTCTGACAGCCCAAATTGTCAGCGCTGCTTCTGGGTGAGATCCTCCCCCTGTAGCGAGGCTGCGCCGTTATGACTGTGCCTAATTGTGCCTTGCTCAGCATCTCCCTGCCCAGCTCAGAATCATCCCAGTTCCTCACCAATGCTGCTGTAGAACCAACAGTAAAACCACTTCCCATCAGCTCGATTTCTTGTATTCTCTGCACACTTCAATGGGGGGGGGGGTTAATGGTGAAAAAATGAATTTATAAATCAATCCATCACTGAGGAGGTCAGAGCTGCTAATTAACAGCTCCCAGCGGGCAGGAAATAATAGCAAAGTCAGTTGTAAACAGCAGCGTGCATTAACGAGGGGATTAACGAGACGTGTCGAGGGGGTGAGATGAGAATTTCCGCCTGCAGCATTAAAATAAAAGCGTGTGAGCTGCAAATGCTTCTCCGTTGGCGACAGAGGGAGGAACCAAAGACTCTCCTTGGCCAAGAATGGTAGGGATGAGGGAAATAATTCACACACAAAACTCCCATCGTTTTGGAGAATGGCCGAAAACCAACCCTGACGTACGAGGTTGTGTTTGGAGGGAGGAAATCTGCTGGTGCAGAGGGGGGCAGCCCAAAGGCAAAGGATGGGATTCTTGGTCAGATCTTCAACCTTTCACTAAGAAACCTGAAAAAACGCAGCTTAAGTCAGAGATAATCAATTAATCTGCAAGTGGGGCGGGTAATTAGCAAAATGGATGTGATTGCTAATTGATCCGGCTGTGGGATTGCTTCTAGAGGTCCCAGCCACGGCTCCTTTGTGGCCTTAGAATCATAGGGTCATGATGAATTTTATAAGCAATCCTCCTGCGTCGTGATCTGATGGTGGAGTGCCTGGCGAGATAACGATCATACCGCAACAATTCAGGCAGAATGCTGCTAATTAGCAAGCAATTGGGCTCAGAAAGGGCAGCAAGCAGCCTAATGCCTGCAAATTAATTGCAGGTGTCGTTTCTCCAGGGTGGAAAAGTGCCTCAAAATAAGCAGAGAGGGACCCAACAGGAGCTTTGCATGCAAATGCCGTGAGAAGGGTGAAATTCAGTCATGTTGATTCTGTTCTACAGATGATGG